AGTGGTCGTTGCGCGGACATCTTCGTCGGTAGGTGCGGCTCGATCACCTTGCAGCCCTGGTCAAAGTAGTACTCTACCATTTTGAAGTAGCTTGGGTTGCGTTGCTGGTCCATCGGCAGCTTCTCGTCCTCATTTGGGACGGGGGAGCCGGCATATGCCACCCCCCTCCGGCTGGACGCCACCGGTATACATCGTTGCAACCCTTGCACCAGAGTTTTAGACACGTTCCGAGAGAGCATCATCTTCGCCACCAAATAACAACAGTGCCTAGCTATCTGAAAACCGCTGTGAGCGGAGTCAGTCGTGTGCCGATGGATTTTCGAAGCGAAAAGCTTAAAAAGTGAGATCACGTGCTTTCTTACGATCAGCGTGATTGGCTGATGGAGGCCAACTACCGGCCCCATGTGTTAAATTTGTGAAATAGCTACATCGAATTATCCGTATTTTTCTTCGTTATTAATTAATATCACCATTCCCGAGTCTAGGTGGCAACCTGTGTCTGTCTTTCGCGAATCGTCGTCACAAGCTTTCATATCTCTATTTTAGCTTCTCTCCCAATTTGATCCGGTCTTCTAACTAGGAACATACGGCCCCTTGAGTACCAATCCGTCACTGCTCGTGCGATTTGGCCTCTGCGTGGCCGATTTCTTTCCTTTGAAACTAACACAGTGGTAACGCATTTCCATGCTTCTCCTGCGTCTCCTTACTGCTTCATTTATCGGCTTGATATTTGTGGAAACTTCATTCAGTCTTGGCAAGTAATTTTAGCTAGTTTACATGCTTGCCATGCGTCATGCACAGAAGGTTTTCAAATGACTAAAAGTTTCTCGAATTTTCCATTATAAATCACAATAACGAATGAAAAAATGAGGGAAAATTTTGACAATTACTATAATCTACACTAGTCTTTTAGGTTCAACTTTCATGAAGACGACTTCGAATTCTTGTGGTGGTTAGCTCAATGCACTTTTCTTTCCTCCCAGAATTTCACTGACATTGATGAAGGAAAAAACATTATTTTAAAGCAAAAAAGTATGCATACGAAGCATTGATGTTTTGAGGAAGATGGTACAAATGTGCAGAAATGGAATGCAGTAAAGTTTGGCCCATTGAACGGCTTTCGTTGCTTTAAAAGTTAATTTCGGTACGGTTTCACATGCAGGGAACACATTCTCAGATCCCATAAGCTGAATTCTGATGGTTGGTTTTCCATTACATTTATTACCGATGGTGCTTCACTGCACCTGTTTCGGCTAAGCAAAAAATATCGAGTACTCCTTTTCAAGAATCACCTATAACCATGCACGAAGAAACTGTGACAGAATTTCTTGACCCTGAAAAGTTTCAGCTTAAAGCATAGAAAAAGGATGTTTTACATAGTGAAATGCCATCTTGAGGTGGGTAACAGCGAAATAGCGCAGGAGTGCTTGAACGATGCTGACTCCATTTCCATCATTCGGCGAAAGATGACGCTGTGCAGGCTGTGATTTTGGCTATGGTATATCAGCATTGATTTGCTGGCCTACGTCAGTTCTGCCTAGGTAGTTATTAGACTTGTTTTAATTCTACCTGTAGTGTCCATTGGGGAGGTAACATCGTCGATGATGCTTACGAAGACTTCTGAAACGCCGTCGTTTCCGTTCGGCGACAAATTTTGTTCTAGTTAGGAAGTGAATTGTCAGACTTCCCTGAGTTATGGAGGAAACACTAGCTCCTTGCGTGCAAGCATCCAGACTAAAGAACGAGTACCTGTAGCATCCCAATGCACCCTTGAGGGCAGCTCATCATAGCAATCAGGCAGAGCTACAGGCTTGGCGGGAACTTTGGCTGGGGAGAAAATTTGGAAGATCCAAAAGGAAGTCATAAAGTGCCATTGGCGAACAGCTGTTCAAGGGATTGTGACAATTGTGCGATAAGCATGGAACTCGATTTGTCCGTATCAAATCCATTAAGATTCTGACATTGGTTGGTCAGAAGGAAGGCCTGAAAAGATTTTATGAGCAGTTCCATCAGATGCTCAACAGCTAGCCTTCATATTGTCCATTTTCGACCTTTAAATTTTTTCCTACACTACAGGTTAATACAGGTCCATCCTCAAAACTAGAAATCTAAAAGCCTTGCTACATATGTTAGTCAAAAAGCCCGCGTGATTAATCGAATTCTTCAGAAATTATTTAAATATAGAGAAACGGGAATTGTTGGAAGGTTCTATCCTCTGTGATCAAATGTGAACCTACGAGCATTTTCCAGAACAGTGGAAGTGTTGAGTGATTGTTGATATTTGAACGATATCAGGTGTTCCAGTTTTTCAATTATCGTGGCATCACATTCCTGTCATCTCATGGACAACTTTTCTTCTGCATTTTCCTTGGAAGGCTAAGGCGCGCAATTGAGAGTAGACTTCGCCCAAATCAAGTAGTTGTCTTCCTGATGGAGTACTCCTTTTCCGACAAGATTTTCACTCTATGTAGGATCATTGAGCAATGCCACGGACCCCAGTTGCCTTTGTTTGCGAGTTTCCTCTAATGTAAAGACTGCGTTTGATTCATTACATCTTCCGACGATTTCGATTTCGATCCTGGGATGTCTAAGCACCTCGTTTCTGTTTTGAAAGAGACGTATACAGGAACCATATTTCCTATCAGGATTGAAGGAACGTGTCACGGAACGGTTGAAGGAACGCGAAGGAATGATTCCACATTAAGTGAATACTTTGCCAGGGAGTTTCGCTCTCCTTTGCTATTGTATATTGTTTTCGTCATTGTTGTCTGAAAAATTTTTCACAATTGCATGACAAAAGTCTCATTCTAGAAGGAGGATGCTGTTCAAGATATCTGGCTAGATATCTTCCTAGCCCGGAGTACGTAGATGATATTGTCCTGATGAGTGGTGCGGAAACTGGCTCTGTGACCTAACAGCTTCCGTATGCAATACGGCTGCCATAATCAGCTTCTTCCTCAACGCCAGAAAGTCAAAGGTAATGAGGAACCTATCCGGCACAGGTTATCCACAGGTAGATCATCTTCGGTGAAGCTCTTCTGCAAGTTGAGCAATTTTGGTATTTCGGCTCCATCATCTTCAGCGATGGCACTATCCAGCGAGAGTTGAATGGGAGGGTCCCCTTGCCCTAAACGCTTTTGGAGATTTGTCCAGTATTTGGGCTGACAAAGAGTTACTCTTCCTACGAAAGTCCGCCTGTGCCCTGTCTCTCTGATGTACTCATTGTTGTACGGCTCGGAGATTGTTCCAACGACGGAGCCAAAGTGACGGACGGTTGGCAGCGTGCAGCAGCGTTGACTGCCGCGCATAATCAGGTTTGAATGGAAGTACCACGTAAGGAATGATCCTCTTCTCTTCAGGGTGGATTTTGAGATCAAGAAAAAGAGGTTGACCCTGTTAGACAAACTGGTTGAACATACACTACTTGCTTTAGTTCGTGAGTTTTTTTGTGGGAGCCAAGTCATGTCAGACATAGGCAAAGAGGCCAGCACGCAACATCGAGGTACAGGACAGAGGCAGATCTGCGTTTCGAGGCATACTTCCTTCTGCGTTACAATAGCTAGGGCCTAATGGTGAAGGTGTTAAAAACCTGTAGGTACAGCGATCAGCATAAACACGTGTAGCACGATCTCTGTATGCTTCCTCCATATTGGAAGTTAAAATTTCATTTCGTTTTAAATGCTTTGAATTAAAT